TGCTCCGAGAGTGTGGCTCTTGGCCACTGTCTGGGATGGGCGGACACAGGTTGTCCCTCCAGGCAATGGAGCTGGAAACTGAGCAGCTCACGCACGTGGCCAATGGCACAGGCAGTTCTTGGTTTGCATTTTAGTCTTACACTACTTATTCTCAGGTCATCTAATCAGGAAAACCATTTTTTTCTAAGCATGCAATGATAAACTTTGTCTTCCATTTTGTAAAATAATCAGCAGATAAAATTTTGGCTATTAATGACATGGAAATGTTCTGTTATTTTCCAGCAACTGTATCTTTAGGCCAAAATTAAAACATCTTGAGCAGTGGCTACATTATTTGCTTTCCTAAGTGTAGTGGTGGTCTTGTTTCCCTGTCATGTTTGAAAGTAAATTATGTTTTTATTGGCCGTCTGCTCAGTACTAAGAGAGCTGAAGTCAGCTTTCTTGTAGAAATCAAACTGTTCATTTTCATAGTCACTTATCTTTGTACAAGACTCAATAGGTCTGTGTTAGAAGCAGTCAAAAAATTATTATTTTCCTCCATTCTCTAGAATATTCACAGGCAGTTTCTTTAGGGTCTGTCCTTGGGATAGATCCTGGAGTTATCCTCATGCTGTAAACCCTCCCAGGGACATGCTGGCAGAATTATTTGCTTATTGTCAACAAAAAGAGCTTAAGACCAACTGAGCTACGGGTGTGTCGCTGTGATCCACTATGCACTTTGTGGGTAAAAACAAGGGATAGGGGTCATAGCTGCAGACCGGAGATTTGCACTAAGACTTCAAACAGCCTCTGTCCGTCATCACAGGCGTGTGGCACTGACCAGATCCCTGCAGTGCTGCTGGCCCTTGGATGTTTCACCACTCACACCAGTGCTGAGCCAGGCACGAGGCTGAGACCCACCAAACCAGCACATTCAGGTGAGCAGTGCTCCCTTGTTGCCAGGAGCAGGACAAGCGCTCTGCCTCAGCAGATGGGCCAGACACCAGAGTGGGAGGGCTGGAACACTCACCCGCAGTACACCCACCTCCTCTCAATGCGACGCACGTGGGCAGTCAGCATATACCTGGGCCGTTGCTGCCTTTCCTGCCCTTACCCAGTCCTGGAACACAGTCCCAGAGAGTCTTTCACTCCCTCCTGCAGCATCTCGGTGCCAGGCAAGCCCTGGACACACATGACAGTGTCCAAGCTTACTGCTGTCATGTGCTGGCATGTGCAAGTGGGGGCTATAACCTCTCCCTCTCGCAGGCTGGTCACTCACAACTCAAGGGAGAGCTTTCTGCCAGGTTGAAGGGACATTTCTGGGACTGGTTTTGATCACTGGGACAAAAGCAATTGGAGCTGGCTGAGGCTGGCAGGAAGGTTTACACTGTGCCTCAGGGATGGGACACGTGAAACTCAACCTGACTGGGCAGGAGATGGGTGCCCAGCTGCACGGAGCAGGGTGCTTTGAGCCTTCCTTGGCACTGGTCATCAGGACTGAGGGAGCTTCACATACCTGTAGATTTTAAATGCCTCCAGGGTTAATTGCACTGGAAAGTGAGTTTTCTGAATCACTCCTCAAGGCTTACTTGCTTTTATTTTGCTAAAATCCCATCAAAATTGCAGACATTCAGGACCTCACTCAGTCATTTGTTAGCAGAGGAGAAACTGACTGCAAAATCAGGTGTTTCTTTGACCATTTCCTGTTGTCCTCCTATTCCTTGGAGCCCACCAGCAGCACACAGGGGATGCAGCTCAACTCCCACAAGATTTCCAGCCCACAGAACTGCATCTTCTACCTGCTGGCATGAAGCCCTCCCTCTCCACTGCTGTTTCACCTCCAGAGCTGTTCTCAGACCCAGCATGGACTGTAAGATCACTTTCTGTTAAAAAGAAATAAAGTGAAGGAAGATGAACTACGGATTACAGAAAATGTGTGTAGGTGCTTCGGACAGGACTCAAGTGTCGCATCCAATTCGGACATGCGCTGCAGGACAGCGCTTCTTAGCATGCAGAGAGCTTTTTCCCTTCCTTTGAAGGCCCAGTGCTGCAGGGGATGCTGATCAAAGCTAAAGCAATTCTCTCCTTTGGTGCACTCCCATTAGTTACTGTTTTGCAAAATGCCTGTGGCTGAGCAGTTAATGGAGGCATCTGCTGCACTGGCAGAGTTCACCGGCTTAATTAAAGACATCTAACAATTCTGCAGCTGCATGCGAAAGACCACGGGTACTCGCATGGCTGAAACCAAATATCCTAAGCAATGATTAAGAGTCCCTGCTGTGCAGAAAGCGCAGATCTGCAGCCAGACACTCACATGAAAGTAGAAGCAGGGCCCAAAGATTAAGGATGGACTAGAACCAGCATGCAACTGTGTCACTGAGGCCTCACCATGCTGGGGAACTGTACCACCTCAGCTCACACTCACATAGTTGAGAACAGTCAGGCTTGCAGTAAGTGAGCAGAGACAGAGACATTCCTTGCCATTAGGCATGGTTTTACCTGCAGAACATTTTTAACATATATTTTCTCACTATGTGAAAATAGTTAGCTGGTTTAAAAAGACAGGTGGGAAGACTAATCCTGTACCAAGTCGTTATCAAGTTCTCCTCTGCGTGGGGCCATGTTCTCTCCCTGTTAAATGAAGAAATGTTTCACTCATGGGCATATTTCTGGTACCACTGCATATTTGAGCTGATTGGGGACTTTGCAAGGCTGTTATTTTAACAACTTACCAAAGAGGTTCCCAGAACAGGCTGCTGCTTTCTGATTAGGATGCCTGTCAGCAGACACCAAGAGCTTTGAATCAGGCTGCTGAGCATGGGCTGCTGCCCTGTGGGGCTGGGGGCCAGGGTGCTGTGGCTGCCCTTCAGTGTGCTCTTGCCCTGCTGAGAGCAGAGCAGTGGAGAGTCAGGGTCTCCCACTCTCTTCTGCCAGATGCGGGGAGCCTTGCGCCTGCCCTCTTGGAGCTGTGAATGCAACCTCTCAGCGGCAGCAATGTCACCGATGGCTGGCTGGGACATAAAGCAGACAGATCAATGCTGTGCTGCTTTGGTCAATATGAGTTTACAAATGAACTTCTGTCAGGAGAGCCATTACTAGTGTGAACAGCTTCTGCTCTCAGTAATTTCTGCGAGGGGAGATGAGAAGGAGAATTGGCACATCAGATGCATAAGTATAAAAGTGCTGCAGGTGAGGAGAGGTATTTTGGTTGATGGGTCTCAATATCCCAAGATCAGCATCTTTCCTACAGAGGAAGGGCAAACCTCTCCTCCACAGCCCGCTCCCACTGCAACAGAAATTGCCTTTTCCCATCATCTCCAGTCCAGGTGAACACCACAGCACGAGGCACAGGAGATGCCTGGGCAGCGCCTGATGTCCAGAGCTGTCCTGCGGGTGACATGACAGCCGCCAGCACCAGCCAGTTCTGTTGTATAACATGTCACGCGGAGTCTGACATGAAGCAGTGCTTCACCTCTGAGCAAATGCTGGCTTGTTCTCAGCTGTGGCACACAAGTGATGGGGGAAACTGCAGCAGTTTACTGGGGCTAGAGTTAGCTCCTTCTTTGCTCTTGGAGAAAAATCCTCCCTCAAACCAGGCACTTGGGAACCAGGCTTGTGGCTTCTGAAGGGTTTCCTGCCTTCAGTGTTGCACCCTCACCCACTGAAGGACAGGGGTAGGTAAGGGGCAAAAGAAGACATATTTAGGGGGAAAAAAAAAGCATGCAGCCATTTCAGACACAAACTTCTCCACAAACAGGAAAATTAACTAATTATAGCATTTTAAGGAAGCAATGGAGAAAAACCAAAGAACAAGCACAGTTTCTTTTTTCGCTAACCCCTATGATAACATATAATCTATCATTAGATAATCAAAGCAGTTTTATTAAAATAAAAAGCAAAAGTTAAGACATCCAGTGTCACTGAGAAGGGAACCCAGAGCAACCTTTTCCCCACACCAGACTGTAGATACATTCACTAGACAGGATAAAATGGAAGTTTTTTTTCCTCAAAGCATCAAGCCTAGAGCAAGTTTGGCTCACACTCCCTCTGCTCTGCTCTCTGCTAGAGATTTGCCACCTCCCTGCCTGCCTGCAGCAACATTCCTGCCTGCACAGCTCTTGAGACGTGCACTTCTCAGTGTAGCCTCTGACCATGTGAAAAACCAGTAAGTGCCAGGCCATGTTCCAGTCTGGTCAATTAGAGCATGCTGAGCCCCAAGACTTAGTAGCAGTAGGTAGGCAAGACAGGTGGAGTGATGGCACCATATATCCACACTTAGGAGATGCCAGAAGATGTTTCTGCTTGGACAAAGCCGTGTGCAGACAATGATAACGGAGGATGGAGTCCGGATGCAGAAGGCCAGTCGTGAGCCAACACCACAGGGCAGGTTAGTCAGATCTATGCATTTGTGGCTTTTGTGTAATTTACTTTTGTGTAATTTTCTGTGGCACACAGGAGGGACAGCAGCAGCCCTGCTCTCTGCCCAAACCTCCAATTTATTTGATTTTACCTTGTGCCATCTCTCCCCCAGCAGCAAGAAGGGAGCAGGCTCTGGCTGGCTGTCTTTGGGAGAGCCAGGGAATCCAGTGGGGACAGGAAAGACCTGAACAGACTGGAAAATAGCTTGAAGGCACAATCTGGTAGATCTAGCTGGTCTTGGATGAAGTCGTGGTCACCTCTCTCTTGCCTCCCACCATGACTTGCTTCCTGGGCTGTGGATGATGCTCCCTCCCTTCAATAAAGACAGGCTGGAAGAGATGTAGAGCTGTGAAGACCTGAAGACAGAGCACAGTGAGACAGGCCTTTACACAGCAATGTGCAAAGAAGGTGGGTGAGGCTGGTGCTGAGAAGGAAGGGTGGGTGATGGCAGTAGTTACCTGCAGCATTGGCCTAAGTTACTTTCTGCAAAGGCCCTGGAAGGTCAATGAGCCTGTAGCACTTTGGGTTTGATTGTAAAAGACAGTGCAATTACAGCACCTGTTTAATGAGATCAGCCGCCACCGAAGCAGGCATCAGTGAAATCACAGCTTGTTGCTCTGCCGGCTAAGGTAGGACATCCATTCTTTGAGGGGAGGGTTCCCCATAGCTACCAGCTTTTTCAGAAAGGCGCTAGGCCGTAGCTCAGGAACATCAGGGTGAGCCTCGGAATATTTCTGCAGTTTAGCCAGAATGTGAGGCAGCCCAACAGTGGAAGCATAGAACATGGGGCCACCCCTGTGCTTTGGCCACCCATAGCCATTGATATAAATTACATCCAGGTGTTCTGGGCCTGACGCTATTCCCTCAGCCAAGATGCCAAACCCTTCATTGATGAGGGAGAACAAACACCGTTCCAGGATTTCCTCCTGGTCTATAAAGCGGGTCTTGATGCGATGAGTGTCTCTGTACTGGGACAGAAAGTTGTGAAGCCACGGATCTGGCCTGGCTGTCCTGCCCCCAGCCTTCTCATACTGATACCAGCCTTTTCCAGTTTTCTGGCCAAACCTGCCATTCTCACACAGAAGATCAGGCAGTGGGCTGTAGCGATGGCCATGCCGCTGGCGGGCAGGTGTTCCTGGCGGTAGTGAGGCCCCAGTGAGGCCCTGGCCCTTTCGAGACCTCCAGCCTACATCCAGCCCAGCAAGGTCAGACATTTGGAAAGGTCCTATCTTAAACCCAAAATCTTCAAGAACCTGATCTACTGCTTCTGGTCTGCTTCCTTCCTCTAAAAGGAAAACTGCCTGTTGTACGTATGGAAACATCATTCGATTCCCAACAAACCCAAAACAATTCCCTACCACCACTCCAACTTTTTTCAGCGCTTTGGCTAGCTGCATAGCGGTGGCAATGGCAGTGGGGGATGTGTGACAGCCATAGATGATTTCTAACAGCCTCATCACATGAGCAGGGGAGAAAAAGTGCGTGCCAATGACCTGCTGTGGGCGGCTCGTGGCAGAAGCTATTTCATCAATGTTCAGGGCTGATGTGTTTGTACATAGTAAGGCACCTGGCTTGCAGATTCTCGACAGCTTGTGGAATATTTCCTTCTTGAGTGCCATGTTCTCAAACACAGCCTCAATGACTAGATCTACATCACGCAACACATCAAAGTCCACAGTGAACTGGAGGCGTGCAGGGTTATGGAAATCCAGATTTTGGGCCCCCTTCCCCATTTTCATAGCCTCACGTTCCAAAAGGAGCATCACAGCTTTTCTTCCTGTGTTCAGATACTCCAGATCTTGCTCCAGGGCTACCACAGGTATGCTGGCCTTTACCAGAGAAGTTACAATCCCTCGGCCCATTGTTCCCAGCCCTAGGGATAAAAGTGAGAGTCAGAGGTCAGATAGATCAGAATACAAAATGTTGCAATTAATCAGTTGACAGTAACATTTCTTTTGTATTTCCAGGATAAAGAGTGAAAGCCTATGCAAAATGAGTGGTGCACAGATACAAAAAAATAACTGAAGACTGAGAAAAAGGACAATGAATTATGTTTCAGTGAGTCTGCATGCTTGAAAAGCAGTAGCATAGAGGCAAATTAATGTCCTCTCAAGCTTACAAAATTCCAGTGGGATTCACTCCAGTGTGCACAGACCATGTGATTCATGTCTTCTCCTGTAAAGTTTTATACCTATGGAAACCAGCATCACTTAAGAGAACCTATCCAAGTCTTCTAACACAGGCCATTCCTAATTTCTGAAGATTCTTGAAGACAGTCTTCCTTGTCCAACCACAGAGTTAAAGCACTTGCCCATAATTCCTCTAACTGAGCAGCTATTCAAGTTGTATTTTTTTTCCAAGATCCATAAATGCACTACTACCAGCTCATATCCCCAGGAATACCAGTGCAGAGATTACTGGCTTGATCCTTTCCCTCCTTCTGAGCCCTTCCACCAGCTCTGCCCTCTATGATATTAAATTAAGCTGTACACTTACAATTGCCTGTGATATATAACCCATGCTATTTATCCTGCTCTCTCATGATGGAGGCTTACAAACTAGTAAGGGAAGGCCAGCACAATTTTACCAGCTTTATAAGTGCGAAGCATGTGAACGGAAGGATTATTAATGTCACAAATAAAGTACCAACCAGACAAAGAACAGGTTTGTTATAATTCTGTAAAAATGGATTTTTTAATCCCAGGTTTACAAATGAAAGTCAGCTAAACAAATAAACAGAAACAAGGGGATTAAAAAATTTGTTTAAAGCAGCTTTATAAAGAAGAGCTGAAATTATGTCATCATTTAAAAAAGTTCCAATAACCAAGGTCAAACAAGGTAGTATGTTTTTCCTGCAAGCTACACGCTCTTGGTTTAGTTCTGTCCACCTTCAGCTTGTGTACACTCAAGGCATTTAAAACATTCCCTGCTTAGCCACAAGAAGACAGATTTTACAGGCATCACTATCTCCTTCTATGACAAGGTGACCTGCTTGGTGGATGAGGGAAAGGCTGTGGATGTTGTTTACCTGGACTTCAGCAAAGCCTTCAAAACTGCTCCCTACAGCATTCTCGTGAAAAAAAAAAAGGGTGCCCAAGGCTTAGATGGGTGTACAGCCTGCTGGATCAAACAGTGGTTGGGCGGCAGAGCCCAAAAAGTGGTGGTGAATGGAGTTAAATCCAGTTGGTGGCAGGTCACAAATGGTGTTCCCCAGGGCTCAGTGTTGGGGCCAGTTCTGTTTAATAGCTTTATGAATGATCTCAACAAGGAAATTGAGAGCACTCTCAGTAAGTTTGCAGATGACACCAAGTTCGGTGGGAGTGTTGACCTACTTGAGGGTAGGAAGACTCTTCAGAGGTACCTGAATGGGCTGGATCAGTGGGCTCAGGCCAGTTGTATGAGGTTCAACAACGCCAAGTGCCAGGTCCTGCACTTGGGTCACAACAAGCCCAGGCAACACTAACAGCTTGGGGAGGAGTGGCTGTAAAGTTGCCAGGCAGAAAGGGACCTGAGGATGTTGACAGACAGTCAGCTGAACATGAGCCAGCAGTGTGCCCAGGGTGACACGGCATCCTGGCCTGGATCAGGAATAATCTGGCCAGCAGGACTAGGGAAGAAATTGTCCCACTGTACTCGGCACTGGTGAGGCTGCACCTTGAGTACTGTGTTCAGTTTTGGGTGTCGCAGCAAAAGAAAGACATTGAGGTGCTGGAGCATGTCCAGAGAAGGGCAATGAAGCTGGTGAAGGGTCTAGAGAACAAGTCATATGAAAAGTGGCTGAGGGATTTGGGGTTCTTTAGTCTGAAGAAAAGGAGGCTGAGTTAGAGACCTTACCGCTGTCTACAACTACCTGAAAGGAGGTTGTAGAGACGTGGGTGTCAGGTGCTCAGGGATGTGGTTTAGAAGTGGGCCTGACAGAGTTAGATAATGGTTGAAGTTGACGATATTAAAGGTCTTTTCCAACCAAAACGATTCTATGATTCTATCATCTGGCAGCCTGCTTATAAACCATTACACTCCCAAGCAAATGCTGAAGTTCCTGTTTAGGGAATTGCATTTGCTACTTCAGAATGAAGTACTACTAAAAGCTAATCTGAAAATAAAACTAGAATAATATGCATCAGTTCTTACTATTTCAGTGTCCATGGTTTGCTGACTAAAAAAACCTAAACACGGATAGCTTCTCTCACTGTACTCAGAATGCAGAGGCTTTCATGTGGTAGCAGGTACTGTTAGAGGCATTTTTTTTCCCTGTCTTTCATGAGCTACATGAACTGCTTTCTTATCGGTCAGTGCGGCAGGGTATTCGCTACCTCATGCACACCCTTCAAGCCCAGCCCCATCTTTAAGGCTCTCTTTAGACATCAAGCTAAAGTGTCTGCAGTTCAACATGGCTCCCTCTTGAAGTCTTTTCCTTTCCAGGATGGAGAGATGGGGGTTCTCCCTAGAATTTCCAAGTCATACTAAAGAAATAGCACACACATCCTGGGCCTTATTAACTCCTCTTCCTCTCACCTTCAGTCTCATGACTGAAATCTTAGCAGTCCTCTCACAATAGGAACACACCGCCTCGTCCTAAATTAACAAGCTCTCTCCTGAGCAGAGGTTCTCCAGCTGCCTTTTCAGGGGAAGTTCTGCCATGGTGTTAGCTGATTCCCGTTTGCTTTTGTCCACATGTACAATGAGTCCTCCCATGTAGGTTTTAGCCATCCCATGACAGACAGGCATACATGCTCGTAGTACTTCACTTCCTAGGCCATGGGAATAGGCTTATAGATAAGATATGAGCTTGCCAAGCTTGTTTCTGACCTAGAAAAGCTGTCTCTCAACTTACTACATCACTCTTCACAGAAATGATGTTTAATGAAGCTGGCAGGGAGAGTAATGAAAGCCCCAAGGGTTTTGTTACATTAGAGCTTGCACAGCATGACTCCCCTGGAAATATTTTCTAAAATCAGGCTATAAAACTAAGGAGAGATTTGGCTATCTGGCAGGGAAAGAAGCATGTCTGAGGACTCCCTTTTTCAATTTTATAAACCCAAGTCATCTCGGGAAGAATATATCAGAGCAGAAAAAAATGGTAGGGAATCATTGGGCCTTACATGTGTAGAACACTGCAGACCAAAAAGAAAGGGAAATGTTGCATGCTCAGCTGAGATTACACAGACCAAAACATGGTTAGGAAGTACTCCAGAATTTCTACTGTATGGTCCATTTTCTTCCTCAATAGTGCTCTCACTTCTCCCAAACCATGAAAAAAACCTAGATTCTCATTTTCCACAGAGGGGACAGTTTTCGGAGCTGTGATACTGTCTTTCATGCCTAAAGCATATCTTTCAAAAGAAGATTTAAATCTGCTTCAGGAAAAAGAACAGTGTCTAGCCATCTTGCTTCTGGTGTTTTGTTGTGCAATGTGGCTTTTACATATAAATAAAACCACACTTGAACCCATGTAATTTCAGGCCAAATATGGATATGACAAATCCATTTGCTGGGCAAGCTGAGTGAATAATGACTGTTAATTATTGATCTGTCACATGAGGTACTTAGAATATGAAAAATCATGCAAAATTAATTGAAGGACTTTAAAACCAAATTCAAAACAAATGAACTCAAAATATGTACGAAGCAACTCATGTACAGTCACATACACTAGAGAAATACAGATCAGTGGAAAATATTCTGAACTATAATGAATATTTGGATTTTAAAATGCCAAGCAATGGAAAAAATATGCAAAGGCTGTTCCAGTTTTTCTGTTAAAAAAACAATGAGCAATTGTTGTTGCTGGTGGTGGACTGCTGCAGCCTGGAGTTGCTTCTTTCTCTGTTTCAGGACATTAATTTCAAGCAGAAATAATGTGATACTCCAGGCAACCAGGGAGGTACAGGAAAACTGTAGATGGGACAGAGAAGAACTCTTTTTCTGGGTGATAAGGAACCTGAGAAAGTGGAAAGACATGGGAGCCAGGAGTTCCAAACAAGCAGAAGCAAATGAAATAGGTGACACTGCATGTGGCTGAAGACAGCCAAGGATAGCTAGGCCAAGAGCAGGAGGGATCCCATACAGCTGGGTGTTACCTGCTACTGGGTACTATGCTGGATCACCTAGGTAAACTCAGTACTTACAAGGATGAGCAGCACTATTTTAAAAGGTGTCAGCCCCTCAAAAATCATCTCTTAAGATTTCTGGTGCTGCCAGAATGTGCTTAAGATCAAGAACGTGAAATTATGAGGTACTGTACAGCACAGTACTGGCTTTTTGTTTTAACAGCCTGAAAGATAAAAAACAATTTTGTTGGCATGTTCTATGTCTGTCTCTAACAGACTTGCAATTTTACTGATATCAAAAGGCAAAATTTGAGGAAAACTTATTTTCTTTTCCTATAGGAAGAAGAAAAAGCACAGTGGCAGAAGGAAATGATGGAGAGCAGTGACACCTAATTTGTTGTGGGATTCAGAGTTAAAAGGACGTGATCAATAACCTCTAAAACAGATGTCACTTAAAGTATAACATGAACAACTAGCATAAACAAAGCAAGCTATAACTGTGGGCTATGGGGGCTGTAGTGATGGAAACAGTGATTCAGAAAAGGCATGAAGAGCCGTGGTAAGTGTAAAGGCTCTGAGTTCACTGATAAGCTTTAATGACCCTGATCAGCTACACCTGAAGTCTTCACCCACATGCACTGCCCATGGGCCTCAGAGCCCCATTTAAGCTCAGATCTGCACCTTCAGTCTTTTCCTGTGCTATGTTAGAGGAGTTCTGGTGTCCTTCCGTGGCTGTACCAGGCTACGGACACTGTTGATTCAGACCTCAGCCTGTAGACTGGCTTCCCAACTTTACCTTGAACCTGCATCACCACGTGAACTTTGCTTCATCATTTGTACTTCTAAGTAGATCCTGGCCATGATCCCTCCATCTGCTCTGCTTGCCTTGCTCAGGTATTGTAAATAATGGCTACAGCAGTGGGTTGTGCTGCCATCCAGAGGGAGAAATGTGTTGATAGGAACTTCAGGAAGTTCTCCAAGTGGAAGTGCAAAGTCCTGCAGCTGGGGAGGAGCAGTACTATACACCAGTACATGCTGGGTGCTGACTGGCTAGAGAGGAGCTCTGCAGAAAAGGATCTGGGGGTCCTGGTGGACACCTAGTTGGGTGTGAAGAGCAATATGCCCTTGTGGCAAAGGAGACTAATGGTGTACTGGGCTGCATTAGGAGGAGTCTTGTTGGCAGGCTGAAGGAGGCAATCCTTCGCCTTTCCTCAGCCCTCTAAGGCCATACCTGGAGCACTGTGTCAAGTTTCAGGTTCCCCATTATAAGAGTGATATGGAGCTACTGGAGTGAGTTCAGTGAAAGGCCAAGGGACTGGAGCATGTCTCAGGAGGAAAGGTTGAGAGAGTTGTGACTCTAGCCTAGAGAAGGCTAGGGAGGATCTCAAGGTATATAAATACCTAAGGGGAAGGTGTAAAGAAGATGGAGACAGGCTTTTCAGTGGCCCCCAGTAAGAGGATCAGAGGCAATGAGCACAAACTGAAATATGGAAGGTTCCATCTGAACATAAGAAACCACTTTTTCTTTTTTTTTTTCTTTTTTTTTTTTTTTTTACTGTTGGAGTGACTGAGCACTTGCCCAGAGAGGTTGTAGAGTCTCCATCCTTGGAGATATTCCTAAGCAACTGGCTTTTGGTGGCTCCATTTGAGCAGGGGGGTTGGACAAGGTGACATTCAGAGATGCCTTCCAGCCTCAAAGATTCTGTGGTTCTGTACACCCAGAAGATGTTACTGCTCCCTGTCCCTGGGGTGTAGCTGCTCGCTGCCAGTAGATAATTAACAGGATGTGCTGAACATGGCTAATATGAAAGTTGGCTGTTACCTTAAGCATACTAAGTAGGATCAAGGAAGAAACATCTTAGTACTTGTCTTAGCATAATTACTCCTGGAATACTGTTACCAAGGCAAACTCCTCCTTTATCCTGACTTGGTCTGGGGCTCCTGAGGACAGCCTCCAGCAGTAGAGACAGAGGCAAGGAAGGCATTCAGCAACTCTGCCTTGTCTGTATCCTCTGTCACCAGGGCACGCACCTCATTCAGCAGTGGGCCTACCTTGCCTCTAGTTCTTAGTTCCCTGGTTAACCATAGTAAGTAGATCAGATCTAAACATCTCTTCCAGCTTAACTGTCATTGTGATTGGGACTTTACAAATATATTATTCTGGCATGTTTTATCAGTACATAGCAACAAATGCCCGTTCTAGTCACCTGATCATTCCTAGAGAATTACAACACAAGCTTTTTGTGCCAAAGCTCACGTTGCAGAACTGACCTGTCTGGGATTGAATGTGTCCAAAGTACTGTGCTCCTTAAGTCACATGATCATAGAATCATAGAATGGCATAGGTTGGAAGGGACCTTAGAGATCATCGAGTCCAACCTCCCTGTCATGGGCAGGGATGCCACCTCTTGACTAGACCTGGCAACACATGGGGACCGAGCGGGAATCGAACCTGTGGCCTCGGTGTTGATCCTTGTTGCCAACCCTCAAACCGCTGAGCTAACCAGCCCCCTGATAAACCCATACGTCTTTACCTGAATGCTAAGAGCCATGGATCTTCTTCACAAGATTTGCCAACCAATGCTTAAAAATCATTTTCATTAAAAATATGGCATGGCAGGTAATGAAGAGAAGGGAACTTTCAAAAAAAAAAAAAAAGTGTCTATGACTTGAAATGAGCTTTCAGCAAGCTTATATTGCAGAGCACAAGAAGCCTGAGAAGTACTCAGGAAAAAGCAGTGTTGGTCTGGTGAGCTTTATCTGAAACAGAATGGATGTTTTCCAAGTGCTCCATTACTTGTCTAACCATTTTTTGAGTGCTACTATCAACAGACAGAGCTGAAAGATACTTTTTAAAAAAAATCTCAGCGGTGCATCAAACGTTTTATTTAAATTGCTCTTAAAAAATTAATGAAGGCATTATCTTGCTGGGCTACAAAATGGCAGGAGTGGATCCCAGTGAGATGAAATCTTCTTAAAATACAGCTGTCAAAACATTTTTGTATTAATGTATCCCTGAGTGACTCTGTGCATATGCACTTGCAGTACAGAACTAGACCAGGAGGAGGAGAATTTCATGCAAACCTGCTTATAATGTGGAACAAAGGAGGACTCACCACAGCAGTATTTAAAATGGAGCAGCCTGCTTATGGTTCACAGATGAAGCTGCCTCTGAAGTGAGAGGAAGGTATTCTTCCAAACAAAGAGGCGGCATCAAGAAACAATCTAGTGGGATGTGACTTGACATCCAAATTTCTGAGCTTACTGATGCCATGACAATGTCCCTCCTTGCACATCACCTATCTGTGTGGAGTATTTTGCCTGGGATGGGTTCCAGTGACTTTGAGTGACTGCTCTTTTTCATTCCCTTACCTATCACAGCTGCTTTGTAGATGGGCTGTGGGGAAGCACTTCTCCATGAAGCTCCATTGGGTGTTGTCCACTTCTGCACTGCTCTCTCTGCGAAGAAAGCATACTGCAGTGCTTGGGCTAGGAAGTTAAACAGCTCTTGCTCCTTTCGGACGCCATCTGCAAAGGGCAACTCTGTGGCGGCTTTGACTGCCTGGAAGCACAGCTCTGGAGCCAGGCACCCACGGGCCTGTTTCTTCACCTTCACAAGAGCTTCGCTGAGAAATGCTTCCATGTTGGGCAATTTTGGAACTGGCCTCAGACTGAGCCTCCGGGGTCCCAATGGCTGGCCTAGGGGTAGAAAAACAGAGTTACAGAACAAAGCATCCACAGCCAGAAGACTACAGATTTTCACCCCTTTCTACACAGACTGGGAATGCAGTCTACCTCTTCTCTTAAGCTCACTGCATCAGGGCTTGCATGGCACAGTGATCTGGGTCTAAAACTAGCATGTCTGACATTTCTCTTTACCTTTCTGTTTGCTCTGACAATCACAATTTTTCAAGTCTCTTCTCAGACTTCAAAAACTAGGTTTCTGTTTCAAAGATGTAATTTTCTCTTTCATTTTCTAATCTACACAGAGTACCTTTACTTCTCCATTTCTCTTACTCTGCAGTCCCAGTTGCCACATTCATGTGGCTCTTTCTATAAGCTTCAGTACTAAAGTTTCCCTCAAGTATTGTTTAGTACTCAGTGTCTAATTGATTTTGCTAGCCAGATGCATTGCAGCCAGGGTCCTCTCCGAGGCATTTACAAGAGAGACTGTGAAACAAACCCTGACTTCAGTTCTTCCCTGACAGCAGGAGTCTTCCTGTTCACTTTGGGATGAACCAAGAGGATGGCTCAAGCAGCGTGAGTTGGGGAGCAAATGAATAATGAGAGAGTTCATGCTCCTGTGTCAGCAAGGGGTGAATCAAGCAGCCGCACAAACACACGAGACTCATTACAGATAGAGGTTGCTATGGTGATACCTAGAAAGGATTTTAATTGAGAGAAGATAGTTACATTTCAGATGCCAAAATCCTCTCCATTCTCTTCAGAAGTACAAACCTCCGTGCCTGTTAGGAGATCTCTGATCTGTCCATACACAGGCTGTTCCTATGCTCCTAATGGCAGTTTGCCTCAGTAAAGACCGTGGAGGAACAAGATCAGAAATTCAGGATATATCTCCTTAACATACCAACATTTTCACAAAGACTCTTTTGTCATCATATCCACGTCCAGACTGTCAACGCTGTAGCAATGTTACTGCACTGCCTGCTGCAGTGCTGTTGCCAGAAGCACCCAGGACAGCCACCAAAAGCAGGATAGTGGGTGGGCCCACTTTAATGAGAACTTTATACTGAGAAGCTCTCTAGTGTACAGTCTCATTGCCTGAGCTTCTCTTATATGAGCTCTGCCACAGGAGCACACTTCCTTCAAAGGTGGCATATTGCATCCAGCTCCCCATTTTCTTCCTGTTGTCCAAGTGAGGAAAGTGCCAGTGCACCAGCAGAAGATTCAGGAGCAGGAAATCATACACAGGATGCTGAAGAGCAGGAATAATGAGCACTGCAGTCACGGTTGCCCAAAGAAAAGGTTCGGACTCTAGCTGCTCCTCCAAAGCTGAGCAATGTTTAAGACAAACAGAAATATGAGTTTCCAGGATAAGACACTGATTTTTTTTTTGAAATAAGGGACTTCAGATCTCAGGCTTTTTAATTAACCCTTTTAGAGAACACAAAAAATGAACATCAATTGTGCACGTGGCTTCCCTTGTAATCAGAGTTCATAAAAATGGTATTTTCACACTGACAGGGAACGTTGTTTGTACCTGCCACTACTGCAGGATTTAGTTAGGATAATGTTCCTTTATTTTGGAATCCTTTGCTTTTCCCCCAAATGTGTTTTTAACCCAGAAATGCTCTTGATCCACAGTCCTTTATTTAGGACTTAAACAGTGGGTTTCATTTCATCACAAGAGGAAACCTCAGGTTTGTCCCAGAAAGCAGATGTGACGGCTGGAAGGCCACTTAAGACTAAGCAGATCAAGGTATTTCATGTGACATCTCTGAAGCGGAAAGGACTGGTAAGAAAGGAATACTACCGGGAGCCTTTAAGTTTGGTCTTCAGATAGTAAATAGTAAATGTAAGCACAAATACTGATGGGGAACATGAGAAAGTTCCTCAGAGTAAAATGAAAAATAACTCTCATCAGGGTCCTGTAATAAACCCCTTACAGAGCTGTAACCTAAACAGGTTTTGCAAAGTATTTCTACAGCATCTCCATGCAGTGTCTTTGCTTCTGCAATGCTAATAAGAATCAAGGGTATATTTACGAACAGGAAAAAATGATCTGAATCTAAACCTGGGAAGAAGAGATCAGTGTGGGACACCCACGGCTTAATTTCTGAAATCAAAGCAGCAGGAACACGAACAGTATCAGACATCAGTGCTGCAGGGAGAAGCACCATCCGTGCACACGAGCTAGCACAGATACCTGCTTTGTTTTTCTACTGTTTGTAGTTCAGGTGCCACAAAGGACAGATCAAGTCTACAAATCTTACACCAGCAAAAGCAACATAAAAGTATGCAGCATTAAATATTGTGCTGTTTAAAGAAAAAAATAATCATCCCAAAATTGCAAACCCTTGGGATATTACAAGACTCCACATGCGAACGGCAAGGCTAGCCTAACAGTCTTCCTGGTGCAATGAACTGCCTGTGAATTTCTGAGAAACAAAGCGGCAACTGGACCCCTGCTCCTCCTCAGGCTTGCAGTGGTCTTGGGAATGCCAGAGACAAGTCCAGTTTATGTCAGACCTTTCTCAAACTCCACTTGTCAAAGGGACACTTCGCTAGCCCTTCTGCCTAAAGAAGGTGGCAGCCAGAATCGTGAGCCCTGGAGAGAAATCAAAATGTGTTTATATTGTACATCTTCCCAGAGACGATGCACTAAAGGCCCTTGCAACTGTAACTTGAAAGCCTTTCTCCAATGGCCTCCATTTAAAGCCCCCAATTACCTAACGGCAGCATCTGTTACTTCTTCGGGTTTTATGAGACTCGGGAGAAACACGTGCTTCCTCCACAGTTACTCCTAGTGGCTTACAGTCAGAAACTCCTAATCATCTTTCCATGCAGAGTTTAATTCCTGTGGGGCCTGAGCTGGTCTAAATTGAAAGGTCTATCTTTGGCTCTTTGGTGCAAGCCATTGATACTTTTGTGCTCTGAGGAGATGACAAAGGTCAATCAGCAGATGTGGTCAGGAAACAACGGGCGATTATGTACGAGGGGAGAGCTTCAAAGAAGTCTGTTGTGCAGAGCATCAGCAGCCATTTTCTCCTCCAGCTGAGGAAGACTACAGCATGCCAGGAAGAGTGTAAGCAGCAAGCTAGTGCCTGCCACAAGCAATTACAGCAATATTTCAATTTTGTGTTGCCATCAGGTGGACAAATTATGTAACGCAGGTTTGAATTAGTGCACTTAACTATGAGGCACACTTAATGAAATTACATTCTCCTTGTCTCCAAGGATTTAGTTCCTATCTACACCTTCTAAAACATGCCTTCAAAAGTGAAGATATTGTCTTTTGCCTTAAGACGAAGAACATATGCTTGCTTCTTATCTGCAATACATAATTACTGCTTTTCAATGAAAAATTTAATGTGGAATCAATAATTGCCTCTGTATAGTCCTACAAGCACTTATTCAGGACTGTTTCAGAATTCCTTTTGAAGGTGTTCATTAGGAATAATCCCCAAAAGTATATGGATGAAGATGCATTCCCAACATACCTGCCATGAAGGTAGCTCTGTTAACTGCATATTGAAACAATCATGAAGAATTCCTGCTTCAGTAAGGCCAGTCATTTGAGACTGATTTCTTGCCATGAGATAATGCAGCTCTGAAAAAGCTTTAGAAGGAAATTCCTGAACTGATCCTTTGAGACTTAATCTTACTGTACATCCTACCTAGGAACAGAATTTCTGTCAGTGACAAAAGCAGTTATTTAGCCAAACTGCTCTGTAAGAAGCCATCAGTTGTTAGCCTCATGTTTAAAAAAAAATAATAAAAAAAATCTCATCAGCAACAAAATGCTGCATGCCGTACAAAGACCGTGCAGTTCTGTGATGCCTTTTGGTTTTTTTTGTGGAACTCAGTCTCTGGTTTTGTTAAGATATCTGAAAAATGTTTACTGAAAACATAACTCAATGTGACCAAAAACCAGATCAGCTACACAAGCCTGTCATCTCTTTTGCAGCTATGGCTTAGTGTTTGATGTAGAGGAATAAAAGGGCTGGTTTGCCTTTGTATGGCAGGAGAATTACATTAAGTTTAGGCAAAGGCCAAAGCAAGGAATGAGAAAAAAGGAGCATATGGACTCTAGGTACCCCATTCTTTCAAATTATCAGGTTACTTGAGGCTAAACAGTGCATCATAACTTTTCACGGTTTTCTACAAGGTCTAAGGAGAAATTTTTCAAACAAAAGAAATAAAGATTAGCTGACTTGGCAATATTTTCACTGTTAAAACACATGCTGTAAATGCCAGTAAAGCTGTTGGGAAGAGTCTGAAAACATTTTTAAAGTCCTGTTGGAGCTGGTATATAGTGGTGATGTGCAATGTCTTCAGTGACATTCATTTTTACTGGCGTAGCTCAGACCAGCAATAAACAGAATGATTAATGATTAAGACTAGGACATACATCTAGCTAGGATCCTTGTATGCTTATATAATGCTCAAAAAAGTTTTTTCCTGGTAGTGAGAATTTCCAGTGAAAATGAAGCTACAGATTAGGAATATGCCAGAAGTGGACATGAGTTCCAGAAAGCAAGTTACGCCAAGGGATAGTGTGCTCAGTGATTGATTCCCGAGGTTCTCTTTTAAGGTCAAGATGACTTTCATAATTGTCAACCACTGTGCAACATCTGTCACTGAAGAAATAAGCTTACAAATACCTAAATTTCACCCAATTTCACTTAGCATTTGTTGAAAACCAGAATGCTGGCTGGTTTGCCAGTTCTAGCAATGTATCTGTTAGTCATTTTATGATACACTGCTACAGCCATCAGCGCTGGTATAGATCTTATGCAGGGCATCATTCAGAAGCCCTGAGGGTAACATGAAAGCAAACGCTGTTTGCTGGGTTAATTTGCCTAGAAAGTAGTAATATTGCACTGCTCTCCCAACAGATGGAGAAACCAAGTTCTTACTCAAAACAGACACAACTAGTGAACCGAAGTATCTTTGTTTTTTTATGAAACAATGGTGAAGTACATCACCCATCTTTTCTAAAGAATTACATTTAAATAGTCTGATTACATACAGGGAAAGAAAAGAGGACTGCTTACATCAAGAATTCTGCACTAGAAATGAAGTCCAAAGATACTGTAGGATGAATACAGTGAAAAGGGCATCTCTTAGAGCAAACATAGGTAGAAAAAGGTGTCTTCTTTGGCTCTTTGGTAAATCTCAAGTTTTAGGGAAGTACAAAAGACACTGATTTTCAAGAATAGCCCATTCATTGAACTATCTTAAAAAATGCTGCACTGTCACCTAGGATAAGACTTAAGACTGTTTCAACTTCTAGCCCAGGAGTGAAATCCTCCTACGGAGAAGAAAAGGCCTTGTTTGCAGTGAAGATAACTGCAGAAGCAAAAGCAGCTTGGAAACCCCAGCTTGGAAAAGTGTTGCCTATAAAGGCCATGTGACCAAAGCAGAAAGGGTTTTTTTGCTTCCTTGCATGCATCTTGTTTTGCCAGAGTTCCAGTTGAAATCCTGCTGGAAGCCAATAGTCTATTTCCAAAGGTACAAGGAGGTTAGCAGTGGAAAAATATTCTGCTTTCTTTCAAGGCAATGCTCTTTATGCTGCACAAGGAATGTTCCTCTTTGTGTGTGAACTCCGGTGAATCTGATTTTATCTCTAAGGTGGGGAAAAAATTCTCTCCACATCCCTCCCATCTCCACAGGCCATTTTCTTACACAACAGCTAAAGGATTAGGGACAGACTCACTTGCAGAGTCATGGATCATTAAGTTGGTCTGAGGATATGCCAGCCCCTTCACTAGAGGGAGAAAGTTATTTTTGATCAGCCATTATCAGCGGTGCAGCCAGAACACATGCAATACCAGCTGTGATCCAAAATTATATATGGAAAGAGCACATACTCCCCCAAACCAGTGGAGTGCAGCAACCCAGAGGAGCATGTGAGTTTGGATATATAATTAAGAAGCAGGAGGGCTTGATATCTATCTATTCTCACTCGAATGTCTACAGCTCTCCAGCATCTGAATTTTTTACTTCAGACAACAGAAAACAAATTCTGCAATTAAATCTATCTTATATGGATGCCAAAACTCAATGAATGGAGCACATAAATTGGAACAAACTGGTGAGCTTTGTTCTGACTCTCTCCAACCTTGAAACATCACCAATTATTTCTTGGCATTGCTACAATTCTTTCCTCACCAATCACTTTGTTTGCCAAGCGAATTCCTGCATCAACTGTGTTTTCTTGCACAACTTCATCAACCAAGCCCAGCTTCAGTGCTTCACTTGCTGGAATGTGTTTTCCTGTGATAAAAAGAGAAATAAGGTAACTATGGTGGGGCATGATAGGCAATTTCCTTCTTTTCCATCTGATGAAGTGACTTTTGTGTAGCTGGCTTCAAACACAAAACATTTTCTTTACCAGGTAGATAAAGTACGCTTCCAATTACATGCCTCAAAAGCCAGAGTGTTCCTTTCTTAGCCCATCATTAGTGGAAGCAGGCTGAATTTCAACCCGAGCAGCTACACAGGTAAAAGAAATTCATGTTTCTTAGACCAAGCTGGTGGTGTGACTCAATGTCATGTATTGGATAAGGCACAGTATGTCACCTGTAGTGATGAGATCCAGAGCAGCTGGTACCCCAATCAGTCTGGGTAGTCGCTGAGTACCTTCAGCACCTGGAAGTAACCCAATGGTGACCTCTGGTAAGCCTAACCATGCCTAAAACAAAGTCAAATTCAACAACAAATCTGATTAGAAAGAGAGATCATTAAAAACTGAGTTGTTACCAAATGCTGGAGTACACTCTGTGACTTACCTGTTACCTCCCTACTCTAATTCTTGGAAGTTTAATAAAGGAAAATTGACAGTGAACTCTTCCCTAATCTTCCTTCAGATGTGTTTCCCTTAAACGGCTCTTGGTGCCCTTGACATTTAGCAGGGTTATGGCAGAGAAGCCAGGGGCTTCTTGTTTTCTCTTCTCTTAAAAATCTATCTAGATTTTGTTGCTTCATGTACAAAAAAAAAATTGTTTGCACGTTTCACATTGAGCTCCTGGGAGATCGGGAGTCACTGTAGGATCGCTACTTATAGCGCACACCTTAGGTGGCATTATAGGGTGATTTAGAATAGCTCTTTATGCTGTTACAGCAACCAACATGGTCATGGAGGAACAATGATTCACGCTGCAAAAGTGAGGGGTTAGCCCTATCACTGAAGAGTCTCTATAAGGAGACCAGGCTCTGCTAAAAGGTCGTTCATCATTCTTGAATCTTGAAAGAGGGGACTCAAGAAAAAACAAACTACTAATCACTCCTGAAAAGACTCTTAAAGCTGTATTTTGGTCAGAGTGCTCCTTGAGGACCCAGAGCTCATGGGGAATTAAATCATAAATGCTCCATGCTAGCTGAGTTTCACCTACCTATTGAAACTAGGCCACTAGCAGAAAGAAATGCAAAATTCAGAGTGCTGGGGGGAAAAAATAAAGTAAGAGTAAGTCACACTGCACGAGCCAGTAAGATAAAGCCATCTACATCAGTATATAGATGTGTGGGCTGAAAAAGGCAGGATGCAGGAACAACCACAAACCACGGCTGAAATGCAAAGAGTAGATTTTATTCTTGCTACCTAAGAATCTGAAGAATCTTTGCAGCAGCACCCAGATGAGGCACATAGGCAGCGATCACATGAGCAGCTTGACAACCAGCAGTATAGAGATCTCTCCTTGCTAGAAAGCATGTGGTATTTATCCCACTGCTTTGTTATGTTTTACTTGCTGCTGAGTTCCCACGACTCACACGACAGCTTTTCAGGGCAGGAATGTGAGAGATGCCCCCCGCATCTATCCCAGGCTTCTGTTTTCTAAGTGTGGGTGTGCTGCTTGTCGAGCACACAAGGCCAAGAAGTGATCTAGTGTGACGTGTGTGCTCTCCAACACCTCAGGTGCAAGTGGCTTGAGCGTACCTACAGGCCTCCTCGCCAATCTCCTGTTGTATTCCCTACAACAGAAAATGACTACTGATACGTAGGGCAAATCAATACTCAGTTACTGAAGTTTCTATGCAGACATTCTATTAGCTACAAATCAATTTTATATTTAGAAATTACTTGAAACTAGTAATTTAGTAAGACTTATGAAAGCATGTCAATAGTGGTGGTTTAGGCAAAGAATGTCTGAGCACACAGACTTCTATCCTGTAGCTGTAAAGCCCCTCTTTTCTGGGAAGATGATCCCAGGAAAGACATGCTGTCCCACTGCTTTTCAGGAGCAGTCTTCCATGCCATCCATGGCCATATGCACACAGCTCCTGACACCTTCACCAGCCTCTCTAGTTACCTTCGCATGTGCAATCCGATAGTGACAGCCAAGTGCTACCTCCAGGCCTCCTCCCAAGGCAACGCCTTCAATGGCAGCTACCACAGGCTTCTTGGACCTTTCTATGAGATCGACGATGGGGCTCAAGGCAACACCACGTCTCTTCGGAGAAGAAAATCCTTGAATGTCAGCTCCTGAGGCAGCACAAAGAGATTTAGAGGAATTAGTGGGCAAGGTGGTAACGGAAGCAATCCTTCCCTCTGTGCCATTGAACATCGCTGCTCACAGATGATCAAGTCCTTGCAGAGTATGCTGCTGGCAGGGGACTGGTTAGCAGGAATCAAGCACTTTTGGGACCACCTTGGCTCATTTAGCATATTCAGAGAGCTCAGGGGAAGGCTAAGTCCAAAAATACATGGTAACTGCAATGACTGTGCAGTTATCAGGGAAATTTGCAGACATCCTTGGTGTAATAAACAGCTGAGCCTGGAATAAGGAAGTGCAGTTTACTACTAAGAAGCATTGTAGAGCTCTACACAAATTCCCTAGCTTTTCAGGTTTCTACAACTGCAGACGATCTCTTACTCAGCACTGCCCCACCCCAGGTATGTCCATATGCTGGACATATGGACCAGCTGATGGTCCAGAGATTGTATATAAACAAGGCTATGGAGGGTAAGGAGGCACAAGTACATTGGAGAGATGAGTGGTTGTCCCTCATTTCAGCATGAACAAACCAGCTTATTTCTGGCCTGGACAGTCCAGATTGTCATGTGCCCCATCTCAACTGTGGCATAGCAGAATAGAAAAATCCCATTGTCTTGTGGCCATTTCCAACCATATCAGGACTTTTATCAGCAGCGTTATGAGGCAGAGAATCTTAAGACATGGTGAGTGGAGAGGATTTCCTCTTTTTTTCAGGCTGTGTTTGATGAAAAATGTCTTACCTGCACTGAATTTCCCATTTTCTCCACAAATCATAACAGCTTTCACTGAAGGATCGGTATCTGCTCTCTTCAGCCCATCCTCTAGTGCCTGGAGAACTGTCAAACTGAAATAAATTAGAGATTCAGTGAGTAACAATCAACTACATTACCCCTCCATAGGTCTGTGTTTTATAAACATGAAATGTCCCAGTAAAAATAAGTTGTATGTCCAAGCAGATCTCTCCCAAAGCCTGTCTTCTGCCACAGCCTCTCCATTTGAATCCTTTCGTTAGTCTCCCTCCTACTTCAAAGGCAAACACCAAAATCCAACAAGCTTATGATTACTGACCTGTCATTCATTTCTTGGAGAGTCATCTTTTGGTTATGACATTGCTGTTTCCAAAGCAAGCAGCACAAGGAAATGTTCTTTTGAAAATGTCATTATGAATTAAACATTCAGATTTTCAGGAAAACAGTTTAGCATAATTTAAAAGTAATTAATGCCGAACCACTGACAATCTAAGAACTCTTTAAAAGGGAAAGGAGCTCCAGGGATAAAAAGCTATCTTTCAAATACCCGATGCAGAGTTGGTGCTGTGCTGATGATTATAATGCTTTCACCTTGTGAAATCTGTATATACTCCAGACTTAAACTTGTGTGGTATCCCGTCAAAGTGAATTTAGGCCTAAAACATAGAATGTCTGCTCTGAATGTCTCCTCTGAATGTAATTCTCAGACACAAGTAGTAAATGTAGTCAGCAAAGAATTAATGAAGAACTTCAAAACAGAACAGTAAAAGTATAAATATTATCTTTACAAACCAGATATTTAAAAAACTGACCTGACTGTATGCCCAATTTGCATTTGAAACTTAGAAGTTAGTTTATATATACATGTCTTTGTATGGGTGGATATGGAGAGTATAGCCTGTTTCAGAAGACACTGTCAATAAAATAGATAGTAGGTAAAAAAAGAAGCACTAACACTTAACAGAATCACAGAATATTAGGGGTTGGAAGGGACCTTAAAAGATCATCTTTGTTAATAGAAATATACACACAAATTGTGTGTATATATGATTTAGATACTACAATATATTCATATACACTACGTATGTAAGCATATACGTAGTTTGTGAGGGAGACTTTTCTGTGTGGATATGCCTCTGATTCAGAAAATCTGAGCCACGAGTAGTTGGAGGCTGGAGGAATACTCAAAGTTTAGGTATCATACATATTCACCCAGCTCTTTATAAATATGTCTTCTGTTCGCAGACATTCTCCAAAGCTTCACATGTAAACTTGGTAGCTGATGGAAAGGGAGCAGAGCTCTGATGCCCAGTGGAGAGGAGGCGAACGAATTAAAAAGAACTGATAGAAAGGCCTGAAGCATACTCAGTTTGTGCATGTTTTTCAATATATTTGAGAGCATTTAATCTAGAAAGGAAGCTTGCCATAAAGTAGATGAAAAATACATCCCTGTTCTTGTGTAATGCTTCTAGGTTTGTCCAGGGTGGGTGATCGCATATTTAGATAAGGCAACAGCCTGCAGCATTGAAGTGGAAATCCTTAGGCTGAAATGGAAAACCTGGGGAGCCCAAGAAGTTTCCTGCAAGCCAGCTGTGTGAACTCTTGCCAGTCAACCTCTTTATATTCCTCCTTCAAAATCAAGAGAAGCTATTAGCAAAGTCTGTTAATCAGGGCTGTTGGCTGAGGGGGGCTGTCTAGAGGAGTCTCCAGGATGGGAGTAAAGCCATGTGATACAGAAAGAGGAGTGGGAGCCCTGAGACCTGACAACCTGACAACCAGGGACAGAAAGAAGTGTTATTTCTGGAGAGAGAACAGCCGGTTACGTACCAGTTGCCTCATCCAAACATCAAAGGCAACCCTGAAGTCTGATGTTAGCAATGGTTCTGAAAGCGGAAACTTTAAATGAGAGCAATTTGGCCACGACAAAGAAAAACTATTAGGTGACTTGGTAGAGGTCTTCCCAGTGCATAGAGTTTCACGTAGCAGAATATGAAAGCCTTTTACAATTTCAATAAATGGTTTAATAATCTGTAGGGGAAAATGCCTTTTTATCTCACTCCCTTTGGAATATCAAGTGCTGTGGCTGCAGCTATTTCAGGAGGATCCATTGGCTGCACCTTAGAGGTCTGGTTTTCCATCAGAGGGGAGCTGGGCCACAGAAATACCAAAGTCACCTAGCAGCTGGAATATCAAAGGGAAAACCATTATGAAGTGTCATCACACTTTACAAACCACAGTGCAAAGAGCAGGGGAAAAAATACATACAGGGATTTCAAACAAAGGTTAAACGATTGATTTGAAATTATTTTATCGAAAAATGGCATAATTCAGAAATAGACAAGAAGCAATCAAAGCATTTGTGTGTGTTGCAGACAGATGATCAAAACAATACTCATATAAATGGTTCGTCTGCATTAGATGGAGAGGTTCAGGATTTTATTTAGAAAATTAGTTACAAGCCCTTAGAACTTAAAACAACATTCTCCTACCAGAAAAAAAATTAGTCAAGGCTGCCACAAAATGATAGTTAAATACCTACATGACCCGTATTAACCCAACAGAACTATTTTTGCCAGAGAATAACTTGACTCTGTACTTGCAAAATATTTATTCCCCCTCCATACACTTTTTTCCCAGTGGAGAATTTTTTTTGTGGGACAAAAAGGAAGAGACATAGACTTTTTGCAGTTTCTTGTTCTCCCAAGATGGAGCAGTATGTTTGCCACAGGACATGTTAAGAGTCCAACACACAGGCTGCATTGCTTTGTAACTCATAAAACGTAACTGCTACTAAAAGAGCTAATTCCTTTCTGATTCTGCTGATCCATCTGCCTCCACAAGCTCCTGTGGCAGGAAGTTCTGTATTATCTGTTTGTAAAACAGTCTCCTGCTAGTTTAATCAAATGCCCCTAGTTCAAATGTTGCAGGATTTGGTGAAGGGTTATGCCTTTATTTACTTTCTTTATGTTTTTGCTTTTTACCTGACCTTATTCTCTCACAGCCTTTTCCCCTCCAAACTGATGACACGCAGCTTTTTCAGTCTGCTTTCTTAATGCAGTGCACCATTTGGATTATTTTGGTTGTCCTCTTCCAGATCGTCCCACTATCCTTCTGCAAACGCAGACCCAAAAACTACACACAACAATTAAGACATTTTCTATTGCAGAAAAGGGATGCCTTCTGCTCTGTTCTCAGCAGACATCCTGATGGTACCCAACATTTTGTGGGCTTTGTAGGCTTTCCCAGCACGCTGAACTGATGATTTCACAGAACTATCAAAGGTAAGGATCCCTTCCTTGAGCTGTAGTTGCCAGTTTTGAGCTTGGCATACTTTAAACTCATCCTGGGTTACATTTTTTATTTAAAGAACTTTTTGCTATCATTTTTTAGCATGACTTGATCTACTCTGTATAGTTTTTAGTCTTAGTTTCTAGTTGACATCTACCATGTCATGCTTTACGGCTTTCTGGTTCTCTTCATTTGAGTCAGCTTTCCACTTCTTCAAAAAATCAATCTTTTCCCTCAGTCTTCTTAGCTTTCTCATCAAGCCATGCAGGGCTTTTACCAGATCATTTCCTGGCTGAACAGTTTACCTGGGCTTCTAATAAGCTAATAAAACCAAAAATCCCAAATTCAAACAACAACAATCCAGCCTCAATACTTCTTGCAGGTTTCTTGTCCTTTGAACATCTTGCAATGGTTTTGTTTGAACTACCTGCAGGGTATTTATGTAATTCCCTTCTTGAAACAGAGTACTCGTGTGTTGTATTTACTAGTCTGCTCTCTCTTGCCTCAATGCCAGATCCAGCTGTGCCATAGTTGCTGTCACATAACAGCTAATAGAGCTTGAATGGAGTCATGCACATAAATTGAGGCCAAACCCAGAACGGCATCCTTTCTGTGGGGTTTTACAATAGCTGTTGTATGAAGCAGACACTTAGTGCATTCCAGAATTTTCTCTCTGCATCTCATCCTGATGAGAGGTGCTGATCCAGTTCCACACAGACAACCACACTCTCCCATCACGCTACCCACCTGAAGCTGCAGCTTCTCTGGTCTCCTTTACAGTTTCTGATCGTTGTGCTGATTGGGGTCAAAAGGACAATCATAGCAGCCGGGGGAGCCTTCTCCAATCACGACTGTTATGCTGTTATAATTTATAAATTTCCAATCACAAATGCTGTTATAATTTATATAATCCCACACGTACATTCCCCTACCCCATGTCCTACCCTACCATCCCTGGAGCTTTTCTGCACTTGTTAGTTCAAATGTCGGACTACTCTTCCACATCCTTCTTAATTTTCAATGCCAGCAGCCTGCCTCTGCTAATAAGGTGTGACTGGTCCTTTCTCTTCCAAGTCTTGCCAGTCTGTTCCTCAGAACTTCCCATTGTTTTGCGCATGGTCTATGCCATGGTCTCATAAATGCAGATCTCTGAATACTAAACTTCTGCAAATAAGGAAAAGAAAACCCAAACAAATGAAATTTGGCTTGTGCCACCTCTGCTGATGGTGAGGAAGATTAGCATGAAGGGGAGTCTGTGAGTTGGAGCCAAATTTGCTGCCAGACTCACAACTGGCATATGTTCCTCAGGAAAGCGCTGCCCCGGAGGTACCTGCACAGCAGCACACAGTATCAGACAGGAGGAAGCAAATTCGTACCCACCAGTGACTTCTAAAGTGCTAACGGTCAGGACGATGGCCTGGGAGCTGAGATCACACCACGGAGCACCACATATAATGGGGTGAGAGGGGTGAGGCTGGAGTAGAGCAGGAAAAAAACCAACAGCCTTTTAAAAAGCATCTGTGCCTGCTGTGAAATTAATTTTTCAGGATCGCAGGAGATGACTCCTGTCTGTAACTTTCACTGCCTGCTATCACCAACATAGTCAAACATTTCCAGCTGCAATCACAAACCTGCTCCCCTACGGTCCAGTACATGAAATATGCAGAAGCAGAAGGAAGGCACAAGGATCAGAGAACACTCTACCTTTCTTCACTACAGCCAGATCTCGGCTAAAAATTACCCAATGGCAAGTGTGAGATAATTATGGATCCCTTCTAAAACAGGTATTACCCTGACATGCAATCAA